AACTTAACGCTAGCGACGTGTGGCCTTTGCGTCCTTCAATCCGAGCCGATGTCATCCTCCAGAGGTTCAAGACGCCGTTGCAGCAACATAAGAATTTCCTTCCCAAGGCGTTCGCTCAAGTGTTCTGGTTCCAATTCGTCCTCACGGGGCTGGCAATGCTTGTGTCAATGATGTGCAACTTAATGGGACCCATCGCACTTAACCGAGTTGTAACGGTACTTTCGGATACTTCCGAAGAGGAAGCCGAACTCGAAGCTACAGCAGCTCAATGGGTCGGTCTGGTGTTCGCTGCCCAAGTGATTCAAGCTCTAGCTGATTGCTACATTGGGACACAGAACGAGGTGGCTGCTATCCAGTGCATTTGCCTGCTAAAAACTTTATTATTCCGGAAGATGATGAAGTTAAGTGCCAGTTCCCGCAAGAGAAAATCGACCGGAGAACTTACCAACATGTACACGGCAGACTGCGAGTCGCTGGTACGAACAGCGTTGGTAGTGCACCAGATGTGGCTCATCCCGCTCCAGATCCTCGTGGTTAGCTACATGCTCGTCCGTGTACTGAGTGTTGCTGCATTTGCGAGCATTGCCGTGATCGTGTTGATGTTGTGGCTCAATCATTTCGTCTCGAAGCAAATGCACAGCTTAGAACGCACACATCGACGTGAAAAAGACAAACGGATGAAAAAGGTGACGGAAGCGTTGAAAGCGGTGAGTGTCGTCAAGCTTAACGCTTGGGAAGGCCCGATTACGGCAGAAATTAACGCCGCACGGGAGACGGAGCTGCGTGCTTTACTCAAGATGCGCATCATGACATCGCTGAGTATCGTTCTGCTTTGGGGCATGCCGGTTTTCGTCAGCATTGCTGCGTTTGGCACCTTTTCTGCTGGATTGCATCGCCACCTCACACCCGCGATTGTGTTTACGAGTCTCGCGCTGTTTTTACTGATCCAAGCGCCACTGCGTAGCATCACGTCGATCGTTTCGATGGCTATTCAATGCAGTGTGGCGTTGGAGCGAGTATCGTCGTTCTTACGTATGGATGAGTTGGAAGAGAGCAATGTTATGACTGCTGACGATCCCTTGGCCCATAAATATAAAGCCAAAGACGTGGGTGTAGCTGTGGAGAAGGGGGAGTTTGCGTGGGATAAAGAGGGTTTGTCCCTATTGAGAAACGTGGACTTGGAAGTGAAAATGGGGGAGTTTGTAGTGGTCCAGGGTCCTGTTGGGTGTGGGAAATCTTTCTTGTGTTCTGCGCTGCTTGGAGAGATGCAGAAACGTAGAGGAACTGTGCTTGTAAGTGGCAGTGTGGCGTACTGCTCGCAACAACCGTGGATCCAGAATATGACTGTGAAAGATAATATTCTGTTCGGCCATCCGTTTGAACGAACCAAGTACGAGAAAGTACTTGACGCATGTGCCTTGACGCGTGATCTTCAGTCGCTACCAGCAGGAGATCGCACCGAGATTGGCGAGCGTGGCGTCAACTTGTCAGGTGGCCAACAAGCTCGAATTGCGCTGGCTCGAGCGTGTTATAGCGATTCCAGTGTCTATATTCTGGATTCGCCGCTGTCAGCAGTAGACGCGATCGTGCAGAACGAAATATTCGAGAAATGTTTGCTCGGACTTTTGAGAGAGAAGACGATCATATTGGTGACTCATAACCCGGAGATTATGACGTCGAGGTTCATCACACGAGCCGTCACAGTGAACGACGCAGGTTCTGTTATAGAGACTTTCTGTGCCGACAATCAACCAGACTACGAGGCTCTTGTTTCTCCAATAGGAAGAGATTCGGATCGTCTATCGTTCGATAACAATGCAACTACGTTGTATAGCATTAGTGAAGACACGGAAGATGTGGCACCAGACTGTTCTACTCGGAAGAAGTCGCTGAGTTTTGCAGGTACCGAAGACAGCGAGAGAGGCAGGCTGATTCAAGCTGAAACGCGGTCGGAGGGGCGAGTTGCTCGTCATGTTTTTGAGGCCTACTACCACGCAGTTGGCGGCCTACCAGTCGTGTCAGCTATTCTCGTGTCTCAAATGTTGTGGCAAGTACTGCAGATCAGCAGTGATTTCTGGCTGAGTCATTGGTCGAATGACGCTGCTACACTTAAAGCAGCTGCGGCGAGCGCACATACGCACACAGCGTATCGTTTAGGTGTGTACGCAAGTCTCGGACTACTGGCAGCAACGATGGTGTTTGGTAGGACCGTACTAGTCACGATCTATGGTATTCGCGCTGCGAAGAACTTATTCGACCGCATGACGTACGCTTTAATGCAAGCGCCCATGCGATTCTTCGATGCGAACCCAATCGGCCGCGTATTAACTCGCTACGGAGGTGACGTAGCTGCCGTAGACGTCCAGATCCCCTTCATGTTCGGGACGCTAGCGGCGAACGTGTTCTCCGTTGGCTGTAGCTTAGCCACCGCTGCGTTTTTGATCCGTTGGAAGGGGTTTCTGTTGCTCCCAGTGATCGCAGTGTACGTGGCCGTCGGTAGTTTCTATATCTCGCCAGCTCGAGAGTTGCAGCGCTTGTCGAAGACTACGCTGTCTCCTGTTTTAACGCACATGTCGGAGTCTGTTGATGGTGCGTCTGTCGTTCGCGCTTTCGGACAAGTCCAAAGATTCTTCCAGACCAGCAGTGCGATACTCGATGCGAACCATAAGATCTGGTACGCACAAGTGTACGTTACGCAATGGTTCTCGCTGCGTATCCAGCTTGTGGGCTGTTTATTGTTACTTGTGGTCACGTCTTCGCTCGTGCTTCTGCACCGTCAACTCGACGTCGCAATGATCGGCTTGGCCTTCTCGTATTCCTTGAAAATTGCAGCTAATCTGGAGGGAATCATACGCTCTTTGGCTCGTATCGAGACGGTAATGATCAGTCCTGAGAGGATCCAAGAGTACATTGGATTCGAGCAAGAAGCGCCCTACCGTATCCCCATGATGGACCCACCAGCACAGCTCGAGTGGCCCTCAACTGGGTCAATACTTTTCGACAAGGTTTCATTCCGATACCAACCGAGAGGCGACTTGGTACTGCGTAGCTTGAGCTTCTCTGTAGCTGGAGGGCAGAAGATCGGAGTCGTTGGTCGCACTGGAGCCGGCAAGTCGAGCTTGGCTATGGCATTGTTTCGCATCAGCGAGCTCACATCGGGTAGAGTGCTGATCGACGGCGTTGATGTGGCTACTATCGGTCTCAAAACACTGCGCGAAAAACTGTCTATTATCCCTCAAAGTCCGGTACTCTTCAAGGGTTCGTTGCGTGCTTACTTGGATCCATTCGACGAGTTCACGGACGATCAGTTGTGGGCCTCTATTCGAGAAGTTGGGCTGACTCAACGTATCGCTGAAGACAAGAGGAAACTCGCGATGATCGTGGAGGAGAACGGCGAGAACTTCAGT